AACACAACGCGCAAACTAAAAAGACTGCTCCAATGCCAGGTTTCCATATGCAGCTTTCAATTCCTTATCAATTCTTAGACATCTCGATGAATACTTGCACTTGTTATACTGCTCCAATGCCAGGTTTCCATATGCAGGTTTCAACTCCCTATCAATTCTAATATTTAGACATCTCGATGAATACTTGCACTTGTTATAATATCCGCGTACAACAGATGTACTAGTTTACATTAAATCTGATTACTAATATTTTAACTGGAAGAGATTTTACCAATGTAATTTGGATCAAACAATTCGGGATGAAGACCGCGGTTTTGGCTTGGCTAGTATAAAGTCATGGGCTTCTCATATTTTAGTTACAAGCAATAGTAGCAGCAAAGATCTGGCTCAAAGTGTTATTATTCTGACAGCTTGCAATACCAGTACCTGGGAGATCCAGCAGCGCAGAACAGGGAGGAAAATATGTGCAATTTTAGGTCTCCTTGAGTGTTTTTCCCTCGCGCTACAGGTGTAGGCTCAGGCATTTGGTAGCTATTCAGTGTGGTTTCATGGCAGGTTTCTTAGAGAAGTACTTGGTTTTATTTATTTTTAAACATAAGAGTCTTAATTAAAGCTTTTTACCTGGCCCTGAGGATTTCCCAGCCCCTTCTGGACAGAGCCTGCCTGCAGGCAGGGCTGCCTGCTAAAAAGCAAGAAAACATTGCCCTCTAGTGCTGAAAGCAAGCAGAGGCTGCGGACTCCAAGAGGGGTCTTTAATTCTTGGAAACAATTAAATTGCAAACAGGAATTGGAAACAAAATACCTGCCTCTCTCATGCTAACAGAACTCAGGCTTGCTGCAATTAGCAGTTTTACAGGCAGATTACCCGCCCAGCAAGGCTGCCCTTCCCAGGGAGAGCAATCCTCCCGATCCGATAAACCCTCAGAGCGACTCACCAACGTCACCAGAACCAGAGCACGGCCTCACAGAGGATGCTTTGCTTCATCCACTTTTATCTTTTGATAAAATCGTAATTGGAGGTTTAATAAGACACGAGATCCCAGCAAGCAGACAGAACTGCAGAACAGGGGAAGCACCAAAGGAGGGCAAATACTGTTACAATTATCAGGATGGGTTTAATTTCCTAGTGAAAGCTGCGATTTCTTTTTTATTTCTCCTCTCATGCTTAAGACGTTACTAAACACAGAACATTTTTCTCATTTCTGTTCACTTCTGCCCATGGCTAAACTACCCACCTTGCGGCCAAGGGGTAGCCTGCAATTACAGGGGTACGGATCTCCAAGAAGCTTCCAACTGAGAAGGAAAGAACAGGTAAAAACCTGAACCTGCAAAGTCACAAATGGCCTCAGCAACAACTCCCTCTTCTCTAAACTGCAAGAGCAGCAGCAAGTAGCCCTATTAATTCACAATTACTTCAGCACTCTGTTCATTGCTTGATAAGCTCCCAGAAGCAGTAAAGTAATAATACTAGGAGAGTGATATACGAGGCGTTTAAGGCAAAATTAAAACATTTCACTTGCATTTTTAAGATCCTGAACTGACGCACTGTTAGGATCCAATTTTTTTTGGATGAGAGGAAGGCCCCCTTGCTTTCTAGCCGACCTCAGACGTATCTGGGAGGCTAGGGGCGGCTGGACCAACCTCTCGTTTCAGGTTCGATCCCTCTGAGCGAGATTAAGACACAAACAAGGTCAGACCACAGAATGGCAAGGGTTGGAAGGGACCTCAGAAGGTCACTCAGTCCAACCCTCCTCCTAAAGCAGGCTCACCCAGAGCAGGGAGCACAGGACAGTGTCCGGGGGGGGGTTGAATATCTCCAGAGAAGGAGACTCCACAGCCCCCCTGGGCAGCCTGGGCCAGGGCTTGGTCACCCTCAAAGTCAAGAAGTTTTTTCTCACATTCAACTGGAACCTCTTCTGCTTCAGGTTGTGCCCACGGCCCCTTGTCCTGGTGCTGGGCACCACTGAGAAGAGTCTGGCTCCGTCCTTGTGACATCCACCCTTGAGATATTTGTATGTGTTGATGAGATCCCCTCTCAGCTTTCTCTTCTCCAGGCTGAACAAGCCCAGCTCCCTCAGCCGTTCCTCACAGGGGCGATGCTCCATCTCTGCTGACGAGATGTCCTAAGCCCACCCGTTTAGTAACTGTTCGGGGCAAGGAGAGAAAGCAGCGATAGGGGAGGAAGGAAAGACAGGAAACCAAGCCAGAGGTCCGGATAGGAGAGCGCAGACAGTCCCCCCCACACACAGATCCGCGGCGTCCCGGGGGTCTGCGCTTCCTCAGTGGCGGGGGATCACTCGCCCGGGGTCGCTGGCCACGCGGGGCCTTCAGTGGCCACGCGGGGTTCTCAGCAATCGCACAGAGCCTTCAGTGGCGGCCTCCCAGGAGGCCGGTGACCGCCCAGGATCTCCAGGGGGGCTTCCCGCGGGGTCGGTGTTCGCACGGCGGGGGGGGGAAGCTGACATGGCGGCGGCGCGCGCAGTTTCCACAGGTGCCCCGGCAAGGTCCTGTCAGCTTCGCGCGGGCGGGCTTTGGGACAAACGTCCAGTCAGTCAGTCGGTCCGTCCCTCACAGGCACACGCAGGCAGGGAGGTTCCTTAGAACTGCGTTACCCGAGGCACAAAAACAACCCCACTCGGCGCATTTCTTCAGGTCCCAGCTTTAGGTGTAAAGCCGCAGGGTGAAGGAGTAGTTTCCAGAAGGAAATTCCAAAGGGCAATCCGAGCTAACGAAGGCGCGCACATCAGCTGACAGGTATCTGCCTGGAAAGAGTCTTCCTCGCAGTTTAAAAACCCTCCATTGTTCCCAGTCTCGCATTGTTCCAATAGGTAAACAATATAAATAATTCAGGAAGATGTTAATTCCTATTTAAATCCATAGAGCAGCATGGGCTATTAAGTTAGTTAGTTTTAATTGCCTCTGAGTCATATGGTTTATTGTTACCAATGGTAATTTTTCATGGATTTAGGTAGAACTACCAGGAATTGCACATGGGCTTCAGAGCTGGCCCGGTTGAATCATAGAATCATAGAATCACTTTGGTTGGAAAAGCCCTTTGAGATCATCGAGTCCAACCTTTAACCTAACCCAGCCATCCCACCACTACACCCTGGCCCTAAGCACCTCATCTACCCTTCTTTTAAATACCTCCAGGGATGGGGACTCGACCACCTCCCTGGGCAGCCCATTCCAGAGCCTGACAACCCTTTCGGTGAAGAAGTTTTTCCTAATGTCTAGCCTAAACCTGCCCTGGCGCAGCTTCAAACCATTCCCCCTCGTCCTATCGTCTGTTACCAGGGAGAAGAGACCGACCCCCACCTCACTACAGCCTCCTTTGAAGCAGTTGTAGAGGGCGATCAGGTCTCCCCTCAGCCTCCTCTTCTCCAGACTAAATGACCCCAGTTCCCTCAGCCGCTCCTCGTATGACTTGTGTTCCAGACCCCTCACCTCATACTTCAGCCGTGCAGCGGAGCAGGGTCAGCCCAAAGCCCCCGACCTCCAGCTGGAGGTGCCATGGCCCAGGGCACGCACCTACGCGCCCACCCAGCGCTCACTGGACGACTCCCTTGCACACTACGTACCACCTCCCTTCCATCCCCCATGGATCCAGGGGCATGCACGGCTGCACCCCGCGCTTTTGCTAGCCCACTCCATGCACAATCTTTACCATTCCAGGCAGTCTAACAGCCCGTAACGTGCCGATCGCTCCAGGTACAGAACAGAAACCATAAGGAAAAGTCCTATAAATGCTTCCTCAAAATCCCCTCCTGTTCAACTTGTTCATCAATGACCTGAATGAGGGGACAGAGTGTACCCTCAGCAAGTTCGCTGATGACACAAAACTGGGAGGAGTGCCTGATACGCCAGAAGGCTGAACTGCC